ACTATATGCCATCTTTCCATGAATGAAATCATACTGAGTTTCAAAAGAAAAGTCCACTCACAAGTAATCCCACACAGCTTGACCCTTAGAGGGTCCCGCCTGCTGCGTATGTTGGGTCGGAGTACCTGATTCAGAATATAAAAATACGATGAACGTCAAGCGCTTCAAAACAGAACTTTAAAATAAAACCCTAGCTTCCCGGGAGTCTCTATAGGTTTGACGAGGTCTAGGATACACGTCTTATACATTTGGTCCGAAACGGACGATTAGATCGCTCACGATCGCACAATTGGACGGTTACTGAAACCCTCACCCTAGGTTAGCCTTTCCGGAGTATCCGGGACTCCGTCTTACGATCCGTCGAATCCTACACGATCCTAAGGGTATCTAGAGGAACATATTTCAGTTTGAAAACAATCCAACGGTCGGGACATATCGAACCCGAATAACACCCAATATGCGATAATTGGTTCGATTGTCAAACGACCTCGGAATCGAGATCCGCGAAATCCTACGCGCTCGTGACAACCTAAGGATCACACTGGAATGATTTACAGCTCCACCACACTTGCCCACGCGCCGCCACACGCGCTGGCAGCAAGCGGGTGTCCAAAGCGATTAGGCTTGGCCGGAAAATCTCAAAATCTCAGCCCCAGACTCCTATCCTAGATGTAACACCCTATTTGGAGTCACTTTTGTTCTTGGGCCCACCCCAAAAACTGACCGGAAGTGGCCGGAATTTCATCCCGAAATCCGGCCAAAACCTAAGTCGAAAATCAGACCTCCTACGCTCAAAATCAATGCAATCCTATCCAACCATCAGCTAGAGCACGGAAAATAGGTAGAAATCCATACCTTATACGTCCAATTTGGTGAAGAAATGAGAGAGAACGAGCGGTTTGAAAAATCGGGAAAAACCACCGGATTTCTGCAATTTCCGGCGAAATTCGCGGCTGTTATCGACGGAGCTTGGCTGGGGTGTGACGGTGGGGCCTGGCCGGTCTGTTTGGCACCGATGTCACGGTCGGTGGTGGCCGGAATCGGTGGTTGCACCGAGATGGGGAGGGGGGTGCGCGCGGGAGGGAGGAAATTCGCGCGGGAGAGAGAGAGAGAGAGAGAGAGAGAGAGAAAGAAAAATAAAAAAGAAAATCTGATTTTATTTTGACAAAAACCCTTTTTGAGTTATTTACGGTTTTGCCACCGAAGGAAATTTCATCGCCAAAACCTCGGTATAACTCCGATTCAAGCCTACCGCCTGTCCACGAATTCATCTCAGAACCACCTACGCAACCAAACCACTTGTGGTCCCAAAATCCTTCCGGACAAGAAAATGACCGAAAGACCCTACCCCAAGGGTAGTTTCGTAATTTCATATTTTAATTTAGTTTTACCATTCGCATTGGAAATTAAACAGAGTCGGGGTGTTACAATGGAAGCAAAATCAGCATAAGTTTAGCACCAAAGAGGAAAATATAGCTTCCTAGGGAGAAATGGGAGTGTTTAAGGTGAGGAAGAAGAGGTTTGCAGGCTGATTTGGCTAAGAAGAGAGAAAGAAAGAACAATGTTCTTCTGGTAGCTTGACAAAGCTTCTGACATATGTGAAAGTGGTCTGCCAGAAGAGGAAAATGGAGAACAAGGGTGAATAGTGCATGAAATTGCTGGGTTTTTGCAAGTAAGAGAGAAAGCTTGCTCTCTAAATCTAAGTTGGTTTTGTTGGGTAGAAGAGGCCTCATTTTATAGCTGCGGGAAACTATCCTTTCCCAAGAAACCCTAATGGTTTCTTCCCAACTTGGCCAAGCTTTTCATTCCTTTCTCATCTCCTCCCTTGACTTTTCTATCTTGGTGAAATTTCCTCTATCTATTTAAACAAAATCATGAATTTTGGGAGCTTAAGGCCCCCTTTCCCGCAGCTGTTTCAGTGGGAGTCTTCCATTCCCAGCCATCTCCTTCTTTTCTTTCTTTCCTTTTTTCATGGCCAGGTCTGATGGGGAATGAATTAGGATATGTATGCTGGTTCGAAGGGTGCTTCTCTTCCTGGCACCTTGCACGTTAATATCCCTTGGTTCTTGTGCTTGGAAATTGTTCCTTCCCATATGTTGGAGCCTTCCAGCAGCTCTGCATATGTGTACATCTTGCTCCCTACGTGGCTTCTGTTTTTTCAGCAAGGAGCTGATGCTTTGGCTTCTTCTCTTTTCTAATTGTATGGGCCTTCTAAGATAATGGGTTGGTTTGTCAAAATAAATGGGCTAACCTCAACAAGGTTTGGCTTGAGGTGTTGGGGCTTTTGGTTGAGTCAATAGGCTATTTTGGTTGGGATATTTTCTCTTTGTGCTCACCCACATGTTTGGGCCTAAGAAATGGGCTTGGGTTCTGAGGCTCCCAAGCAACCCGAAACCTCCATTTCTCGACTCATCAATGGGCCTCATGACAACTTATTACCATTCATACCACAATCCACTCAAGCAAGCCCCATGCATCTTGCGTGGCTTGGGCCCACTTAAGCTTGTGGCGTGATTAGGTGCGGAATAATAATTCCTTGCTTAGTGTGGCGTGTCGCTTGGCGTGGTATGTGTACAAGTGCATATGATGAACTTCCGCGTGCCCAAATCAGGTTTCTTCTTGATAAGGTACCGCATTTGGCCGAGAATTTATTTGGGCCAAACCGTGGATTTTTTGGGTCTCAACAGCGTGCTAAGTATCTGCACAAAAGCGTATGTGGTGGAGTTGGCTTCCCAGCGTGTTTCCACTTAAAAGAGGCGCCCAAGTTCGATTCTTATTGAAGTTAGCTATTTGCCTTTTTACATATTTTTTTGGCATTATAACAACAAGCTGTACATAATTATTATTATTTAAAAAAAAACAGAAACACCTTTTTAAAAAAAAAAAAAAAAAAAAAAGGAAACATCGAAGCTAACCACCAGGAATATATATCTTTCTTGAAAAACTCGATTATGAACATTTGATTAATGATTTCTCTTTTAAAAATTCAAGAAGATCAATTTTCAGACATTAGTATTGTACTAGTTCTGTTTTTTTTTCTTTTGAGGAAAAAGCTCTCGTAATAGTTTTAATTATTCAAATAAAGACAACAAATACAATGTGATTGATTTTTGGATAGTCATGTATGTTTTTGTTGTTGCTTTTGTGTTTAATGCAATATAATCTAATTTGTTAATGACATTTGTGTGCAACTACTCTTTAATTTGTGATTGCTAATTTTTTTTCCTATTAAACACAAATCGCCTATTGGAGGCAGCAAGGGACCTTTTAGGGGCACAAGGAGCTTATATTTGTACCAAACATACTAATATTTAACTTTATCAAATGAAAACATTTAAATTTTTATGAATTGGATTTCTGATTGTCATTACATGTTTATTGATGGTGACTTTTAGTTATAAAAAAATTGTTTATGACATTAAGTTATGACAAATTTTTATTTATAGTATTTTCGTATAAGTTTATGTGAGGCCCCAATTTAAGTTTCGCACAGGGCCCTCAAAACCTCAGGGACGGCCCTGCTTAAGTTAGCCGGTGGGGGTTGGTACTTCAGTTAGAATCCGAGAGCATCCTTGGTTGCCGATTCTACACCCTTTTTGTACCCTGTCCTATAGAGGTGATGCAGAAGATAGAGTGGGTAGCTTAATTGATCAAGACACACATCAGTGGAATGCTGTGAAGGTTAAAGTGATGTTTGACAAACGTGAGGCTTCCATGATTTTGGGGATGCCAATTAGTAAGATGGGGTGTCCTGACCGTTTGATTTGGCACTTTTCCAAGAAGGGATTATATGCGGCCAAGTCAGGATACCAGTACGATATGCAGAGGAATGGCAACTAGGGTATGACAAGTACCGGAGACGATGGCTAGAAGGTTTGGCGAGGTATTTGGCATTTAAATGTACCAAATAAACTTAAATGTTATATATAATTTACTTCGATGGGGAGTGCGGGTGGAGAATTATTGTGCTATATGTGAATTAGAAGAGGAAACCATTAAATTAGGTATAGCGTCCAAAAATAAGGATCTAATTGGCATTTTATATATAATGACAATACATATGGCAATTCCAAAATTCATGGAACAAGCAGAAAGACTGACTATATCAATTTCAAGTTTTGGAACAAGCAGTTATGAACATTCAAATACTCAGTTAACAAAAAAGCCAAAAGAAACCAAGCGACACTACAAACAGAGTTCTACACAATTAAAATAAACCAAACCCCCTAAAAGGACTGACTATATCAATTTTAAGTTGATGGATGGAACAACCAAAATTTACAAAACATTCATTGATTCTCTTGAACTGCATATGCAGCATTTCATAGAGCACAGTCTGGAAATTCAGGGGAATCAGTGATTTGGAGACATCAACTTGAAATCACAGTCCTCTGAAATCCAAGGGAAATCAGTATAGTCAATTGGTGGATAGTCAAACTTGTCAGAGAGCTCATCAAAATCCTCATATGCAGTGTAGTATTTTGGTGATTCAAATGCAGGAGGTGGAGGGTCAAGATTTTCAGACATCTCTTCCGACTTTTTGCACCTTAAGGGACTCTCCGGCTGAAAACAAAGACCAAAAAACCACATTGTTAGGAAATCCAAACCGACAAAATGACTTCAGAAAATGAAGAAAAAGGAAATTAAGACTTGCCTTAAGTTCACTGAAATTCATCAGAAGTTGATCCAAGTCCATGGCCTTGTTCTGTGCTTTGATGCATTCTTGATGATTGTGTAAGAACCCCTCCTCTGCAATAGCACTAGGACAAAGAGGTTCTTCTGCCATAACCTTTAGCTTCATGCTTTGGTTCTTCTGCAGATTTGGTTTCACTGAGTTTGAAATGTGAGATAGCGTATTCCTACTATGGGTCTGCACTTTCTCTGAGGCTTTAAAAACACCTTTCCTAGTGCTCGCATCATGAACGATTTTAGGAAGGCTGGTCACTTCCTCAACGACAGGAAAATTCTTGGATGGCTGCTTTTTTGATGCCTGGGAGAGAACAGGCTTCCCCGAATTCGATATGTCACCAAGCGGTTTCCTTCCACCAAGCCCTCTCATTTGTGTTTTTAAAACATCACCCTTTCCCACAATTGAAGCTCCTGTTGCAAAATTCTTGGAATGCTGCTTTTTCGATACCTGATTGAATGCAGGCTTCCTGGAATTGGATAAATCACCGAGCGATTTCTTTCCACCAAGGCCTCCTTTCCTTTGTGTTTTAACTGTATCAGCCTTTCCCACAACAGAAGCACCTGTGATACATGTTATAAGGGTTACACCAAAATAGCCAACAAGAATTTTAGGCAAGAAAGAAAATAATTGGTAGGCTTGAGAAGTACCATTAGATTGGGCATTAAGATTCTGATCGTGAATCACACGACCAACTTGTGATGCCATTGTTGTTTTCTGTACCCACTTTTCGATTTAATTTTCTGCTAACTGCAGAAACAAAGGAAAATAAAAACACTTAGAACAATCCCTCACATCACCAACTTCCGTACAAGATGTGGCCTTAGATAAAGAAATACATATCCAGAATTCTAAAACTAATTGAACACTTAAACTGAAGTGAAAGAAATACTATCCAGAATCCAAGATCTTAGAAAATTACGAACCTCAAATGGCAATTGAAAAAAAACACCAAATTCTTATTTATTTGCATCGCTAATATGTATCCCTCATCACCATTCACCATCATTTTCAATCATTTCTAATGGGTACCATCTGAATCTTAAATTCAAATTCTTTTTTTACTGTGCAAATATTTGAAAAACAAGAACACCAAATCCAAATCCAAATCCAAATCCCAGAAAAGTTCTGTAACACCGAGTCTATGGAAAATTATATCTCCTTTTTTCCTTGAAACCGAAACAATTAGGAGATTAAGAACCACAATTCAAATTACAATTCAAAAAAATTTCCCAAATTATAATTCAAACCTAAACCCTAATAAACGAATTAGATTAAATCATACAGATTTCTAAAGAATGTGGGAAAACTCACCAAAAGTGTTTCAAGTAAGCGGTCGATATCTTGCGATTTGGAATACAACGCGAATTCTCTAAAACTGGTCAGATGCTGCAAAGTTGGTTCTTAGTCTGGCTCAGTTCAAAATAAACGATAGATGATGAATGGGGTTCAACGGTTACTTTATATGACTTTACACTACGCTCCTTTTTTAAAACACGTAATTACCAAAATGGCATTTTATCTTTATCTTTCACATCTGAACTTGTTTTAAAAATAAATAAATAGTTCAGACTTAAAAAAAGGTCATATTACGCGACTGATGATTTATTCACCCATTGATCAAAGATTTTATGATTAAATTGATATAAAAAGACATTGATAAGCAAATGTGGGTTAGGGTAGTTGCCCGTCATATTGCACGCAAGTTTAAATTCCCATGTATATATAGGGTTTGTTTGGAATGTTGAATTGTACTGACTAAATTATATTGGATAGTATTAATCGGCTCCGAATAGTACTGACGATTTATCCATAATATTATAAAATGTTTGGTGTTATTAATGAAATGAGGATAACATGGTAAATTCACATTTTTTAATATTAAAATTAAAAACAAAATCATATAATAGATCCTACTTTTATTGAACATAACTACCCATGTTATCTTTTCTTAATTCTAAAAATAAAATAAAAAAGAAAAAAGAAAACCAATTGGCACATGCGTAGCATGTGCCAAGGGGCTAGTATAGATAGATGATAAGATTTTTATTTTATTTTTATTTTTGCCAAAATCTATAAGACAAGATTACATCAACTAACTCATTATCATAATCGTAGAACTTGGGATGTTTATTGATGAAGAAAAAAATTCACATTTTGATTTTTTTTTTTTTTAAAAAAAAACTTATTTTCTGATGGTTTTTGTGTTGACACCGTCCTTTTGCCATCCTCTTGTAAACTCAAATGCATTATAGAAATGGCCAGTTGAGATTTTACCAAATAGAGTCAAATCCTGGTTGAATTGCTCTGACATCTACAGCAACCCAACCCAACAAACAAGTCATATATTAATTTGCATATAAATAAACGAACATAAAACTTAAAAAATGAAGAAAGTATAAAACTTTAAATCAAAATGAAGAAAAATGATGAAAGCAACAAACAACGGACTTGTTGAAAGGAGAGAACGTCATAGCCGAACTTGGACTTGTTAAAATCTCGCTCGAGAGGTGGAGAAATATCCATTGATTGTAGAATTGACTTTGTGGTGTTCCCTTTATCCTGGGGACTTCTCCCTTCAACTGGGTATGCAAACCCTACCAGCCCATGGAATTGCAATTTCACGAACTTGGACTTCGTTGATGGCGATGAAGTGAGAGTCAACCCGCTCAACCGCTGACTGGTGCCTCTTGCATAGGAGAACCATAGGGAGAAGAAGATGAAAGTGTATGATGTTTCATGCGTGTTTTTTTCCCTAACTTTATAATTAAATGTGTATTATCTAAATTGAGGTGTAGTTGTATTAGTTAGTTGTATATGGAGAATATTAAAAGTCCAAATCGTTTAAAATAGTCAGGTAATTAAATAATGCAAGTTGACACAAAATAACTGACATTAACTATTTACTCATATTCAAGTCTAATGTGGTATATTTGATTAATTCAGTGGCAATTAAATTTTTTTGTTAGAAATGCTAAAAAAAATTAGGTATAAAGAGCACCAGTGCATTTTCTATACTATGTTAAGAACATTTCTACCCATTTGTTATAGCAAAGGGCAAGGGAAGGCAAGTTATTATTTATGTGAATAGTGCCAGCTCTTATAAAAGGCAAGTTAGGTTTCCAACCTATTGCCATGACAAAAGGCAATTGCTATTCACTTTAAATTAATTTTATTTTTTGTACTTAAACGATTAATTTGGATAAGATTTTCGATTGCCAGGTGTCAATATTTATTATAAAATTCACTCTTATATTTCGGATAAAATTTTCGGACAAGATTTTCGAATAAAATTTTTGGATAAGATTTTCGATTGCCACATGTCTATATTTATTATAAAATTCACATATCAGATTTCGGATAAGATTTTCAGTTGTTACAATTGCGGCACGTGTCATCTTTATCTTCTAAATCCCTCTATAAAACCACAACCTCAACTCATAGCAATCATCCATATCCTCTCTATCCTTTCATTTTTCAGATTTTACAAAACACATTCTACTTTCAATGTCTTACACGAGGACATTGTTGGAGAGGGCCGAGTGAGAAAATGAAGAAATAATGCACAAACGAGCTGAAGAAGAAAGGGAGTGGGAATCAGATGATGATCAAGTTGTCATGGTAATGGGTATGCTCGATCAATCAAGCCAACACCACCGTGGTTCACAACCCGGCCGTGGCCGAAACGTGGATAGATGTAGGCAGTCTAGGGGTAAGAATCTATTGGACGATTACTTTATCCCAAATTCGTTGTACTCTAGTTTTGATTTTCGAGGGCGATATAGAATTCAACCCCAACTGTTCAATAAAATCATACATAATGTTTACAATTATGACGCATACTTCGTTCAGAAGTATGATGTACTAGGATTTTGGGTCGTTTTCTGGAGCAAAAACTTACAACTTCTTTAGGAATGCTTGTATTTGGTGCATCTGCAGACTAGGTGGAAGAGATTGCTAGGATGGGGAAATCCACTATCCTAGAGAGCTTGGTCAGATTCTGTGATGTAATCGAAACTATCTACACGAGGGATTAACTCTGCAAACATACGCCTAGGGACCTCTACAGGCTTTTACAAAAAGTCGAGGCTTGAGGTTTCACAGGCATGATTGGAAGCATCGACTGCATGCACTGGTAGTGGAAGAATTGCCCAATTTCCTGGTGTGGAAATTATGGGAATAGGAATGGCTAAAAAAGTATCATTCTAGAAGCCATTGCATCTTTCAATACCTGGGTTTGGCATACCTTTTTCGGAGTTGGAGGATCTCAAACTGACCTTAACATGCTCGGTCAGTCCCCGATGTTCAACGATGCATTCAGAGGTCAAGCCCCTCATATCACGTATGAAATCAATAATACCATCTCTTATGTGGGTACTACTTAGCAGACGAAATTTACCCGAGATGGACGACATTCGTCAAAACAATTCCTCATCGCCAATCGGAGAAGAAAACTTATTTTGTTGCCTATTAAGAGTGTTGTAGGAAAGATGTGAAAATGTGTTTTGGTATCCTCCAAGCTCGGTGGGCAATCATTAGGGGGGCTGCTTGTATGTTTGATGAAGAGATGCTTTGAAGTATTATGATGACGCGCATCATCCTCTATAACATGCTTGTGGAGGATGAGTATGATTATGATGAACCATAGATGTTCAAATCTGATCCCATAAACACGACATTGACAAGAATTTATGAACGACCTGAAGGAGCAAATGGACAACCACTGGAGCACCAACCATTAATTAGGGACTATCGTTACAACATCCATATGATTGACCGTTGTACATAAATACAATCTTCTTATGTTCACGAAAGACGTCAAGTTGACTTGATTGAGTACTTATGGGTGTTGAAAGACAATCACGGTCAATGAAGTCAAGTTTAATGCTTAGTTTTGAATTATGTTTTGTTTGTGTTTTGTTTTGAATTATGCTTTCTTTGTGTTTTGTAATGAATTATGCTTTGTTTTGATGTATGCAATGTTTTAAATAAATAGTTATATTATTGAATGCTTTCTTTATATAAAAGACAAAAAATACAACTAATTCAATAAAGACAAGCAATACAACTAATTAAGAAATGACACTAATTCAATAAAAGACAAGCAATACAACTAATTAAGAAATGGCAACTCTATCAATACAACCTAATGGTTTTCATCATTTAACCAATTCATGTTGCTAGGTCCATTGTCATGGAAAAGCCTTCTTCTCGTAACATCCCTTCGTTCTTGCTTCCAAAATGACTTTGTTTCAAGAGACATATAGCTCATATTCTTGGCCATGGTTTCTCGATCTTTCTTGTCTATGTCTTGTTTGTGTGCATACTCCATTTCATTTGCAAATGCTTCATCTCTTGTCTTGTTAGCCTCATCTCATTTCATGTCTCTCTCAATTCTTAGTCTGTCGTTGATAGCAATTTGCTCCAAAAATTGGCAACCATTGGATTGGAGTAGAAAGAATGGATTGGACATCATAGGAAGCTCCACGTGGCTTCTATCCATGAGGGAAAGCGAGGCTGACGCCAGGCTGGCATCAGTGATGAAATTTTGAATTTTTTTTTTTACTATTTCCGTGCTTGACGCGCGCGGTCTCCAAGAAAAATTTGAATTTGTGCACTAACGTCACAACCCTCAAGCAGGAGAACGGGCTAATTTTGCCTTGAGCCTTGCCTAGATTGGTGGCCCCCACGTCTTGTCTGGGCTGCATTTGCATGCTAGAAGTGCATTTGTGGGCCTAGGCCCCTCTTGCCTGGGCTAAGGTGCAACGCTGGAAATGCTTTAAGAAAGTCCTCTTTATTTACTAGATGGTATACAATGCCAATGTTGTCCTTATACTAGATGGGGCTACACAATACATGTCAATTGCTGTCCTCTTTCAAATGTCAAATTTTGTTTAATAGCTGTCCTTTTACTAGAAGGGGCTACACAGTACATGTCAATTGCTGTCCTTTTTCAAATGTCAAATTTTGTTTAATAGACGGTATACAATGTCAATGCTGTCCTTTTACTAGATGGGACTACACAGTACATGTCAATGTTGTCCTTTTTCGAATGTCAAATTTTGTTTAATAGACGGTATACAATGCCAATGTTGTCCTTTTACTAGATGGGGCTACACAGTACATGTCAATTGCTGTCCTTTTTGAATGTCAAATTTTGTTTAATAGTCGGTATAGAATGTCAATGTTGTCCTTTTACTAGATGGGGCTACACAATACATGTCAATGTTGTCCTTTTTCAAATGTCAAATTTTGTTGAATAGACGACGGTATACAATGTCAATGCTGTGGTATACAATGTCAATGCTGTCCTTTTAGTTATTTTTCTTTTTTTAATGGGAATTTTTTGAGTTGGGCTCTTCTTAATTTTGGATTTAATAATGGGGTCTAACATAAATTTTAGATATAAATTCT